GGAAAAAACAGTTTTCTGCAAAGGAGGTGGAAACATCAAGGAAACTGGCTTCTGTGAGAATTTACATCGAGCGTGTAATTGGACTTATGAAAAATAGATATTCCATACTGCAAGGAACTATGCCATTACATTTAGTAAATTCTTGTAAGTTAGAGTCCGAAGGTGGAGAACTATCTGTTATTGACAATCTAGTACGTGTATGTGCCATTATGACAAATCTTGGAGATGGAATTGTTTACAAAAGTACTGACAATGAAGGGTTGTAACAATGTAAAGTCTTGTATTGAATTAAAATACAAGTGATTTTTTGAAGTTGAAGTTCAATAACTCCAATCATTGTATGGACATTTGAAACCATCATATCAAGATGTATATCATACTGAGTTACACCAGTGAATTATTTCCTTTTTGAGATAGGAATTAAAACTCTATCGAGTCATTTTCCATCGGGTATATATGTTATATATGTTATCTTCAAAAAATTAATAATCGTCTGATTATGCTGAGGGCTATTCCAGAAAAATATCTTCACAGGACTCCAGGTCTTGTAAAGGGGTACCACCTATAGAATTTCTTTTGACAATTTCATTTAAATGTAATAGAAGTAAGAGGTAGGAAACCCAACCATGTACAGAAACAATTCACTCTGGAGTCCCGGGGTCAAGTAAATGTTTAACTGGAATAAATAGCCTATATTATTACTGCATAATACTTCATAAATAAACAAATGAACAGGTTTACTTAGATTAGTTTGAAGTTTTATTATGCACCAAAGAATTATAATACTTTTGATAGTGACATACACACAAATAGTTCTTTGTCATTCAAAGACTTGATAATAGATTTTTACATTATAAAAGACTATGATTTAATTATTTGATCTAGAGTCTGACAGTGACATAAGTAACTGCATGCACATAAAAAGTGTATATTGCTGCACCCTATTTGATTTTGAACATGATATATGTAGGTTAGTCACCTGTGTTTACGAAAAATGGATTGTCTTTAAAATCCAAAGTATTCATTAATAGTAAAAATTAATGGTACATGTTCAATAGATGTACAGATCAAATGATTATTTCCATGTATGGCAAACTGTACCAAAACAACACGAAGCATACATTTGTGTGCATGTTATATCTTCATTTCAGTTCAGTAATAAAGTGAATACAGTGTCATTTTAGGAACACATGTCATGTAAATAAATGATCAGTACATTCTGAATTATTTCCTTTTCTTGTTTTTGCAATCTTTGCAATACCACTTTCCTTTAGGTGCACGTTTAATCTTCACAGTCATAATGAAACCACTTGTACTGGCATGTTACACTGTCGCATCCAATCATGTCATACTCTTCACCTGGAGTTTGGCAAAAGCAGAAGAGTTCCGAGGTGAAACGTCAGGATATTTGTTGGTACTGGTGGATTTTGATCCATTTAGTGTCGCATGGTTCAGTAATTCTGGCAAACAATGTCGTTTCCAGAATTCTTCCGTGTCAGTGCACAACTTCGAAGTGAAACTTTCACAATGTTGTACTGTGGTGATAATGCTGCCTCCAGGCGTGTACACTATAAAGTGACAAACTGGCAAGCCGAACACACATTTGTAGTTGAACTTGGGAAAAGTATGGGTGGGACTCCTTCAGGGAATAGTTTTCAGTAAGACAGCGATCTTTATCGGCCACCATTTCCTCCACACTAGAATCCCGGAATTTGTAAGAGCACTTAATTTCAATGACCCCAGATCCACAACATGTGCATGAAAACAAACCGTCTGGAGATGCTCCTATAAAAGATCTGTCTGTTAGAATGCGTAACACTGACTTTTTCACTTCCAAACCGCTGTGTTGCGGTGTCATGATTTCCTTGTACAACTCAAGCGCTGTTGACTCATGCGTTTTCCCCCATTGCACAGCTGCCGTGTTCAACACTATAGAGGTTGGATGACAGATTTTCTTTATCAAAGACTGATGGACTGTTAATATTGGTATCACTAACGCTGAGCAACAGAGGCTGTGATGCGTCCTAGGCGATGTTCATGTCAACTCACTGAATCACTTTGGTTGACAGTACTGTCACACAAATAATTACTTTCTGCCTCTGTTGCAGTCATCTTGGTAAAAATGTCTTCACATTTCTGACCGAGTTGGTTTGCAGGTAAATCAGCATTTTCGGAACTATACAAACACTTCATTGATTGTGGTAGTTTTTCTTTAGGGACAACAACATCTTTGAAGGTGAAATGATGGTATGTTTCCTTAAAGATACCGAGTCCTACCGGTTTTTGTCCGTCACATTTTTCTTCCAAGTTTCGCAGAAATTCTTCTTGTTGTTGTAGTGAAGACGGTTGATGGGTTTCTTTTCTTGGTCTTTTACTTTTCTGTAAGCGTTCTTTTGTTTCTGTCTTGTAAAATTTAATAGATGAAATGGGTGCAGCTTGAATGGATTTGGCAAAGCACTTGTTCCATTGACATGGTATGTCAGTACATGCTTGCCTTGTATACCCATTTCTAACTGCAGCTTCAATTTTAAATAAAAAGGCTCCTATGTGCGAACAGGATTCACCTAACCTAAACAAAAATAAAACTCGTTTAAGTTCAATTAAGTAAATTAATGTAGCATTTAATTCATAACTTAATTTCCTTTAGTAACATATATGTTCCATTCTATTAGAATAAATTTTTCAATGTATATAATTACACACAAAAGAGTAATTGCAATATTAACCATAACCAAACCACATTAGTCATATTTTGTCAAAGTATGCTTTTATAATAGAAATATGAAAAATACCTATAATATATAGGTCATTTTATTACTATTTTGAAATATCAAATATTTTGACAGAATATCTGACTCCTTTGATCAAAAGTAATGATTAACAACATACAAATAAATACACATGTATTTTTTTTATATCTATATAAATTATGTAGATGAGTAGTAAAACCACTGAAGTTGAGCAGGTATTTTTAAATCACTTTAACCACTGTTTGAGACTTCATAAATAACTGAAATTCACAAATATTGTAGATGGCAGTGAAGGGGGAGGAATTAATTGGTAATCATTATAATGACATAATTACTTATTAATTATTCTTACCCGGCCATGCAGTCACAGTGTGCAGTCACCACTTTGCCAGTTTTGGCAATAGCTACCCAAGGATGGTGAGGATGTTATACCTGGTGTTTTGATAAGGTAGGAGAAAATGGATATAACACCTCTGGCCATTTCGTTGGGTCATTCTTCAAGGTTTCTGCAGGTAAGTCATACGGACATGTTGTCAAGCCTACAACACCTAATTTCTGGTCATAACGAGATTTTGCTATATTATCTAGTGATTTTGTGTAACCGTATACCATTGTAAACACATTGCAGACAAATGTCCGCACCCTATCCTCAGAAGAGTCAAAGTGATAACAGAAACAATATGCATTGCTATGTCAGTCGATTTCATATTTGTCGCCTTTCAATAAAAATGATTGACAATACACAGTTCAATATGCAAGTACTACATGTACGTGATGGTAAACGGGAAACGGTGGGTCGATACATAAGTTATTTAGAGTGAGGCACAGGTAAATTTTCACACCTTTGGCTCAGCCACCTGGAAAAGTGTGCCTTGACCACCACTGCTCAAATGTGCCCCAGGGTATCTGACGGAGCGTCTCGGGTGAAGTCATTACGTAATTTATTACACCGACAACGGGGGTTTGTGATTTACAGAAAAACTCGACATATATTCAGGAGTACGCATATTGAAACTAATTAAGAACATCTAAAACAGATAACGTTATCAGTAACTGTTTCTCCGATTAAAAAAACTGTTCACTACCAGCCACTATAAACAACCAGTCTCCTTAGCGTTGCTAAGAGTTTGTTTTCACCTTCAAAGATGGCGGACTTCCTGTTGTTACGGACGTGACGTCACACCGAACCCGAGAATACACTTGTTTGCAACACACTTACACCGTGCCGTATCAAGGATCGCTTACATGTACTTCTCTCATTCGACCTCGCCGCTTCTTTTTACAAAAGAAAATGAAAAGTCACACTAATAACGAACCAGAATCCGGATTTGGCATAGACTAAACTCCGGAACCAAAATTCAAATACATCCGTAACAGAACACGCACTCTCTGAACTGCATCTACAATACTGTGAATGAAGTCCAGATTAATATAGACATAATGGATGACCACAGTGCAAAATGTAAATATATATTGGGAATCACACGATTGACAACTTCTCGACGGATAACGGGCGATTATTTCCATACATATAATTCGTTATATGTAACGTTAGAGAAATAATTGTTGAATACTGTACTAGAAATCGTTAGAAAATAGCGTGCAATTTATTTTATAATGTCGTAGTTGGAATGTTAGCATGATATAAGATTTGGGAAAGCTGTTAGAATTATAATTTTCTTTTGGGGCGATATGGGAAAGATGTTTTGGGCGACATAGAAAATTTGTTGGGGCGTTGACAGTATATTGGGGCGAAATAGGATTGGGACGAAACGTCGTACACCCCTATGATGTTGCAAAGTTATGCAAGTAAATCATTTCGGACGACGCCACTATGGGAGAGGAATTAACACAAAACAGCGAACTACACAATCACAACACAGGACGTAGGGGTTTAATAATCAAAGTGTAGTAATTATTTATTACTAGCACAAATCGCATATATAATAATGAACATATAAATGACGGCCACACAGGTCCGGTCCTTCCAGACACACAGTCCGGGAAGGAGACACACAGTCTCCGAAGACACACAGTCTTATGGCACAATCGTTCCCGCACGGTCGGCTGTCTGTTCTCTAGTCGACTCAATATCTATCTCCGCGCATAAGAGTTCCCGCACAAGGGGAGTAACTCAAGTGGTCGTTACCACATTCCTCCCCATAATATAAAAGGCATGTACATATAACTGATTAAGGTCAATTACGTCTTACAAGATATTTAAGTAACAGTCACTGATCTCCTTGGACATCAATACAACACATAATCCTTCAAATGGGCAGGTACTTTGACACTTCTGCCCCTACGCGTAGTCAACACCCTTCTATCACTGTTAATGTAAGTGTCTGTTTCACTGTCCGAAGAACTGACAAATTTTCCTGTTTCAGCCTCTTTTTCTAGACTGCCCTCATTCGTTGTGCTTGTCTCCACCACATCAGAAGGGACATCTTCACTTTCCTCGTCACTCTCTAGACCTGCACTTGCCGCCTGTGCAGCAGTTCGGTGGAGATTGCTGCGCAGTCTGCTCACCCACAGTGGTACATCTCTGTCGGTGCACCTTTTTAGCTTATCGTGGTGACTGGTTAGCTCCTTGCCCCTACAATCTCTAACACTGTAGAGCGGTGGTTCACTCTGGGTAACGACATACGGTCCCCTCCATGGAGATAACAGCTTTTTGCTGACCCCGGTCCTTGATGACTCCTCCAGCCGATACACAACGCCACCGTCATCGTACTGTTGTTCCACTAACTTGACGTCGTATAACCTCTTCTGTCTCCGTTGAGCACAAGCCAAGTTTGACCGGGCAACATGTTCCAACTTCTGAACCCACTCAGAGGATTCAAAGCGAGACATATTTGCGTTTACGACGCCGGTAAGTATGTCGACTGGCATGATTACCTCTCTGCCGAGCATGAGTCTATTTGGTGTGAATCCTGTAGAACGGTTCTCTGTTGCATGTAGAGCCATGACCAATGATGGAAGATCTCTATCCCAGTGTTGGACCTTTCCTTCGATATAACATCTTATCATCTGGAGTATACTCCTATTACATCTCTCCACTTTTCCATTCGAAGATGGATGATAGGGCGTGGTTCGAGTCTTGGTTATCTGAAGGATACTACAAAAGGCTTTGAAGAGATTCCCATCAAAGTTCTTTCCCTGGTCCGTGTGCACAGTCAATGGACACCCAAATGTAACCACAAATCGCTCAAAGAATTCCTTGGCGATGAGTTCAGCCTTTTGGTTGGGCAAAGCGACACACTCTATCCATTTAGAAAACTGGTCTATCATAACCAAATCGTAAACATTTCCTTGCTCGCTCGGGGTAAATGGGCCAAGGATGTCAAGATGTACACGCTCCATTGGGTAGCCTGAATGACAGCGCTGCAAAGGCGCCTTTGGTTTCACACAGATCTTTTTTGTTCTTGTTACATGTTGAACATGAAGTAACATACTCCCTGCAGTCTTTAGCCATCTGATACCACTTGAAAGAACATTTTGCTCTCTGGAGAGTCTTGTCACACCCCAGGTGACCCGCTGATTTGTCATCGTGACAATAGTTCGAAACCTCCCTCTTCAGATCACTGGGAACAACAAGGCTCATGTGTCTATCTGGTTTGTTTTTCCAAATATACATAAGTACACCATTCTTCATTGCCAGCTGGTTGTGACATAGCCATATCAACTTAATAGCTGGGCTCGCGAGGTACAGCTCATGATCCGATGGAGGTGAACCTTCTAACCAACCTAGGATACACCCCAAATCCCGGTCAGCAAGCTGCATTTCCCGGATGTCGGCATCTGAGTAACAGCCAGTCCAGTTAGGAAAATCACAACTTCCCTTGTCATCCAGTGGTTCGACCTTGGCTTCATCAGTACTCTTGACAGACTGTACACTAGGGACTTGTGACGGTTCCATTTTCCTTGCCAGGGGAACCACATCATCTACATCCTCAAGGAAGCGCTGCCATTGATCAGGTGCCCGTCGACAATATTTGCAACCTCTGCATGGCAAATTATCTGGAGATGATCCTGCCGAGTAGCAATCACACTGATCAATCGTATCTGGGATCCTTGAGAATCCATTAGCATTCAAATGAAACTTCCCACTTCTGTGACTGATTCCCATGTTATATTGAGCTAGCTCCTCTAGCCACCTTGCGAGCTGACCTTCTAGGTGACGGAAGCGAGTGAGCCAAGTCAGTGAGTTATGGTCCGTCCGTACATGGAACTTCCTCCCAAGAAGGAAATGTCGAAAATACCGGGTAAATGTCACCACAGCCAGAAGCTCCTTTCTGGTTGTGCAATACTTTCTTTGCTCTGGGGTGAGAACTTTCCCACCATATGCTATGACTTTAGTGACGCCACCCTGTATCTGAGATAACTGTGCTTCAACCGCCGTGTCTGAGGCGTCGGTGTCTAGTATGAACTCTCCGGTAGCCGTAGGATATGCCAGACATGGTGCGGCTGTCAGTGCAGACTTCAGACGCTCAAATGCTTGTTGATGCTGGTCATTCCATTCGAACCAGTCAATTCGTAAAGACACTGAGTCATTCCAGCATATCCTTGCACATGCTCTCGGTGATAATTTGCGAAACCCAAGAAAATCTCAACTTCTTTCTTAGTTTGAGGTACTGGCCAATCCTTTATGACATCAACTTTGTCTGGTGCAATACTGACTCCCTGCTGACTGATATGTTTTACTAGAAACACACATTCCGTCCTGAAAGGGGCACATTTTCTGGGCTTCAACTTGAGCTGATGATCTTGCAACCGAGTGAATACTTTGCGGAGGTTTACCAAATGTTCCTCAAAGGTTTTGCCTAGTACATTGATGTCATCTAGGTATGCCAGCAAATCCTTCCATAGCATCCCCCTGAGCACCAGCTGGATTGCCCGTTGAAATGTTGCTGGGGCGTTGCACAGACCAAATGCCATCTTCTTGTGTTCAAAAAGACCATACTTTGTTATAAAAGCAGACTTTCTTTGGTCCTCTGGTGCAATATCAATCTGGTAATAACCAGATGCCATGTCTAATGTGCTGAAGAAATGTGAACCAGCGAGAGTAACTAGACAGTCTGATATATTTGGAAGAGGAAATGTATCCTTCATGGTTTTACTATTTAACTGTCTATGGTCAACACACCATCTTACGGAACCGTCCTTCTTTCTCACGAGCACAGGTGCAGATGCCCATTCTGAGGTTGATGGTTGAATGACATCTGCTTCCAACAGTTTCTCGAGATGTGCTTCTTCCTCACTCTCAAATCCAAGTGGAGTACGGCGCATTTTTTGTCGCACAAGCATTTCATTTCCAATGTTTATGCGGTGCTTAATGTTTTTCAAACATCCGATATCCAAGTCATGCTTTGAGAATATGTCTTGGAATTCTATGAGAAGCGACCGCAATTCAGACACTTGGCTGTCATTTAATCCTTTAGAGGACCGGCAGAAAAGCCCCTCAAGGTAAGGAGGTAATTCAACTTCCTCTGAGACTTGTGTTCACTTGAAATGTCCCATCACAAGCGTGTTCCTCCAAAGAGGTTGGTACAACACCGTCAACCTCTGTAGCGTTGCCAAGACATAGTCTTTCCTTATTGTTACCGATGTACCAGAGTCATTTATAAACGTCACAAGTACCTCATCAGACTGACTTCCTAGAATAATTGATGCCTCCATGAGAAACCGGTTGTTTCTCATTGGTTCTACAACCCAGGTCATTTGCGGGTCATCAGGAGAGACCAAAGCCACTGATGTTTTAGTAATGGAGTAAGGAGGTAATGTAATTCGACTACGAGCCTTCACCTTACAAGTCTTTACCACGTCCCCCATCTCATTTTTCTTGAGTATGCCATGGAGAACAGTGGAACCAAATTCAACGGTATTGGTTTTCAAGTCAACTTTACATTCGTGTTCTCGTAGGAAGTCCATTCCTAACAACAAATTGTCGTTTATTGGAGCTGCAATCACATCCCATGTGAAAACTTCGTTGTCAACTCCAATAGTAATGTTTTTTTTTTCAATTTGTAGCCTGCTATCTTTGAGTTTAAGCCTGCTCCTGTCAGGACGACATTTTCCGCTCCTTCATTACTAACTCCAACCTCCTTTGCAAGTGACAAACTCATCACAGTAACTTGAGCAGTTGTATCTACAACAGCTAACACTTGTTTGTCCAAGATTCCAACCTCAATCACCAAACTCACAGCCATAGTCTTGCGTAGCACAACTTCATTCAAAACTGGAGTTGAGTTGGGTGCTTGACCTTGTATGTGGACTAAAGACAGGTCAGAGTCCCTAGTCCCCTCTATTTTGACTGTTCCTCACTTGCCATTGTTCGACAGTCTCGCTGGAGATGTCCATACTGCTCACATAGGTAGCACTTCCGCCTTGACATCCGGTTTGGGCTGTTCAATGGAGAACGTGGAGAACCTGCAGGAGATGGTGATCGATCCCGTTGTCTCTTTGTCTCTGCAGTATGCAATTTGTTCACAAGACCTTTCACAAGAGTGACAAGCTCCTTCATCTCGGATCCCTTAGGTGAGTGCGAGTATTCTACTCTCCGCACGTTCCTGTGATCTTCTCCACTGCCACTACTTTCCTCCTCAGCAAAGGTTACCTGGCGCGCCACATATACTGGTTTGGACCCATATAAGACCTTCTTATTGTTGACAGCCTCCTTGACATATTGCAAAGCTTTGTAGATGGACTTCAGGTTCTTGCCCATGGCGATACTGGCAGCATCTTTGTCCCGACATGCCCGCAGGAAGGCTTCGACAGCAATCTGGTCTATTGTCTCCTCTAAGGCGCTAGGTAGACCATCCATGGCCAGGAAATGAACCCTTTGTGACAATTCAGCCAGACTTTCATTTTCTTTTTGCTTGATAAACTGCAGCTGTCTTCGTGCTGACACTGGTGCTTCCTTCTTACTGAAGCGTTTTGCCAACTTCTTGCACAGTCTATCATAATTTTCATGACAAAGACCCCTGGCGAAGTCCAAGGCCTTACCACGTAAAGAATCAAGCAGCTTTTCTTTTCGTTCACAGTGGCCCCACTTATACCATTTCGCCATCCGGTCCTGCTGGAAAATAAACGAGTCCCATTCTCCTTCATTGTAAGTTTGAGGCTTAGTGACCTGTATTGTGTTCGATAGGGGTATAGGCGAATAAATCACCAACCACACTAAAAAAAACACAAGGTCAAAGATAAATTTTTAAGGGGAAAAGGCGAATTAATCTCCAACCACACTTCAAAATTCAATTATTTTCAGTTTTCCTTCTTTTCCAGGACCGGTCGTTGTTGTCCGTTTCACTATCGTCCGATGACACAGAGACCGAAGAGTGCCTTATTTTGTTACATTCTGTGTAGAAAGCTGTTACTAGACAATTAAACCACTGTTTTTTGACAGTTGAAATTGCATGTAATCCGTCATACAAAGAGTCAAAGTTATAGCTCACAATTGTCTTAGGGATCCTCTGACGCCCTCTTCTTTTTTTGTGAAACTTTACTACCACATTGTCCCAGGGAACTGTGAAACATCCAGTAGTGTTGTTTAATTTCCTTATCTCAGTGTTGATCTTGTTAACAGTAGAATTATGCTCCTGTTGATAAGCAGCAAGGTCAGTGTCTGTTATTCTGGCAATACTACAACGGCTATCATGGAATTTCTTGATTGAAGCCGGTGGGATAGTAATATACCCAACAGATGAACTCGGCCAAATGTCTATCATATCCTTTTTAAAATCCTCCAGCTGATGAAGAATATTTTCTGCTGACACCGGTGCTGGCTTTATATTTCCCGTAGAATGTTTTTCCAATAACAACAAATCATTTATACCAGCAGCTATTTTAACAACCAGCTGTGTGGAGGTTTCAACAGATGACAACTCACAGAAAAACAGCGAATGCAAGTCGGAAATATTTGCTCCACGTTTAAGGATGTATTTTAAATTTAGATTGTTTGGCTGTGGGTATTTTTCAAAATTATTTGCCCTGGAGTCAGCAACCAAAACAAACAAAACACCTGACATAAGAAATGAAGGGACAATAAACAGCAAAAATGTGAAAATTGAATTAAGGTACAGTATCATTATGAATTACTATTTAAAAAACAAAAACCAAGTTATTCTACACAGTTTACATGTGTAATATCAGACAAGGGCAAAGTACTTTACCAGTTATCCACTTATAAACAGTGACAAGTGGCACATCAGATTTGGTCACCATTTGGCGACCATGTTCAAATTTTAGTCGCCATTCTAAAAATTTTAGTTGCCTTAATGTTAAGCAGAAAA